CAAAAACAGGAAAGATCAATAAATTAAATTAAATTATTTCATGTTGAAAAAAACTTAAAGCATCAAGCGTTAAATTAAATGAAATGTTTTATTTCCGAAGATGTTGAAAACGTTCATTTATAAGAGAACTTTTTTATGGTTCCATCAGACACGAAAGTTCCTTCACTAATAGGAATTCCTCCGGAATACTGTAAATGGAGAGACGTGCTGGGGACAGCCTTATCCGATTCGTATTATTTTTGTGTCGAACTTGGACTCCATTGGCTTTAGCACGAAAGCTCTTTGACGAAGGTATCTTATTTGGCTTGGAGGCAATATTAGACAGGATTTGGCTTTTAACATAAACAGAACGAAATATTGTTTTAGGATATGATATACGGTAATCAAGTCAACATTTGTTCTTTTTCTTCTTTTGCTTGAGATTTTAATATTATCATATGAAAATCATTAAATTACGATACATTAATATTAGAAGTAATATTGATTGAGATATCATAAACCATTTGCAAAGGAATGAATAAAACCTCTATTGAAAAATAACCTTATTTGTTGACGTCTAGTATACTTCGGAGAGAAATAAATTTGTTCTGGTGGATACGTCGAGCCCCGGCGCCCGGCGCCCGGCTCTACCCCGAACGCGTCTTATTGAATGCTGACATCCCTAGACTACGACATAGATAAGTTATTGTGAAATTCTCAGAATAGACAGTCGCCAATTTACTATCAATGAAATTTGTACACGATAAATTTATTCAAGTCTAGTTTTCATGTACGTTACCTGCTCCGAACTTAATTCTATTTATTTCAATTTTTTACCCTAGACTACGTGTTGCAGGTGGTGGCGTAATATTGTAAATAGATGAAATAGCACTTACCAACTCGATGTCCCGTTTACCGCTTGCAGGTGACTGGTCACTCTGTCGGTGTCAATCGAGTTAAGTCATGTCACAGCCAAATGGTCTTTAGGCGCCAGTGATAACCGTACGCGGAACCTTAAACTTAAGCGACACTATACGTTAGGAATCCTACACGTCTAATGTGTAACTCTTTCCGTCCAACTTACGTCGACTCTCGATGCTGAATCCCAACTGTGTCGATTCATTGCCTTCCCCGCACTAGACCCCGCAGGCACCACGCCCGACAATAGCGGTGAGGGATTTATATCTACCCACTTGTGTCTGGAGAATAAAAATGAGTCAGACTACCTACGATAACCAGTATAGCCGAACCGCGAAATTTAAAAATATAGTTGGTCACTGAGAAGACAAACCGCAGTGCATCTGTTGAAAGAGGTAGTCAGAAGTATAACATATTTTGCGTTTGACATCAAATTATATTTTAAATCTCGTATTTTGTTATGTAGGCGTAAAAGTGTAGGAAGGGTAAAGAATATCAAAGATTTAAAAACCGCACAAGCTATTCGTTTCACTTTGTAAAACGAAAGTCATGAGGTAGCCACTCTTAAGGCTAAGTTACCACTGCACGGTTATAAATCACCTTCTCGTGACAGTTGCATTACGCGAAACTATGATAGAGGCTTTCTGTTATTGTAAAAGTAAATAAGTTGTTGATTCTTCAAAATACATAAGTGATGAATTTGATTGCTGTTTTCTAAGTGTGAGTGTGAAACATGTTCTTATCCCTGTCGTGTTAAGAAAAGATATAAAAATGTTTTGTACAGGTTTGACAATGGTGGAAAATTTTAAAGGTAGGTATTCAAACATTATATTCAGTTTTTAATCGCAAATAATGAATAGCATATTAAATGTTTGCTAAACCTTTATTTAAAGAGGAGTTAATCTCTAAAAGGTATTGATAAATGAAAAAGAAGTATTATTTTTAAAACGTTTTTATTTTGCTTGAACATTTTTCAAAACATACATTTACTTTAGTACATACGTTAAGCGCCTATATGAGAATACAGATATAATAACAGAGTATTTCGTGCTCGAATCCGCGTCCGAAGTCAACATTTGTAAATAACATTTTCCTTCCGATTTTTTTTTGTGAACGTTTGTTTGTAATGTTTTGCCCTCTTGAATATGTTTTCCGCAGATGAGAATTTTACTCGTAAAAATGTTTTTTAATATTTGAAAAGAACAAAAACGAAATCCGCAAAGGTGTTCAAAGTAATGTAAATAGGAAACGTAAAAACAAATTTAACGCTGGTATTTTGACCGTGGTTCTAAAATATTTAAAATGAAAACTACAATTTAATTTCGGAAATTAATTGCCTTAATTTTACAAAAAGTTTCAATACAAAAAATACGATAACGTAAAAAGTTAAAACATAGTATCTTACTAATAACTCTATTATATTTAAAAGATCAAGGAAACTTTTGTGAAATCCCTGCCACGGCCATTTTTTTGACAAAAGTGATAAACGAGCTCGTTACTGTTTTATAAAATGTATTAAAGTAGAGAGAAATTGTACGTAATGTCATAAATATTTCATGGCTAATTTGTACCAACAATGAATAACAAAAAAAATCGGCTACTGTTTTAATATACTTTTCGTAGCCTTTTTAAAATAAATCACATGATTTAAACACAAGGTCAATTCTCAATATTGTATACATAGCGAAATTAAAATGTAATATTTTTGGAAAGTTTAATAAAATAGTATTAATTTACTTTTATAAATGATCCTCGTATTTTAACATAGAGCTCATTAGTAATGACATATATTTCCAGGGTATCTGGGTTAAATAGTTTAATAGAAAAAAAATAACGAAGTTTTCCCGGTAACCATTATTGTGGTGAGGTTTTAAGAGTCTGTTTGCATAACGTGGGCCAGGCTGGCGGACGGCGAGCGGACGCGGATGGAAAGATTGAACAAATTCCGTTCAATATTACTTTCGGCCCGATATCTTTTTACGAAGTTATTCAACGGATAGTTCAAACATTTTTTTTTCTATTCCGTAATAATACTGTTCGGGTTGCAGTACTGTTGGATTTATTTACAGAAACGAATAAAAACAATTTAGTTATTTGATTTTAACGTACATATACAAATTAAAAATAAAAGTCGGAAAATAATAGAGGCAAAAATATTCAAGTGCATTTGCTCACGCTATGGAAAAAAAACTTCTCGATCCATTTGTGATTTTTTTTATATTTTCATTAGATTTCGTAGTCAAAGGAGTCGGTGTGCTACTGTAAAAGGGAAATGTTAAATAATGCTGGCTGAAGTAGTTGGTAGACGTTATTCGACATGGAGACCACGTACAAGGCGCTGCAGCATAGCACGCATGCAATACATATGTGTCAGCCACAGGAACGATTTTAATTAACTTATTAATTCTCAAAATATGTGTATTAGATATGTTATCCATATTGTGACAACTGTACAAAAATACTTTTATCATATCCACGATTATTGCAGCAAGAAAAGAAAAAAGTTTTCGTTTCAGGAATACTAGGGAGCTAAAATCTTTCTTTTGATGGTACATTTACTGTTTATTCACATTCTTCTATTGTTTTAGAAGGAAGTCATTTACTGTTATTATAATTGTCAAAGAGATAAGTAGTTTAATTAAAAAATATACGCGTATTGCACTGGTAATGCGTTTTGCGTTCAGACGTAAACATGTTCCTTAAAAGTGCTCATTATATTCTAGTTCACTATACATCCGTGTTTAATACTACTTTTGCAATACCTGGGGATTTATCTTAGAGTTCCCTACAGCTATTTAAACAAGTCGAGTCATTGGCGACTAGAAATCGGCGCTAGATTTGGTGATTTTCGAAGTCGGTTTCTGCAGCAGTTTGTTTTCAACAAACCTTAAGGCAAGACTATAAAGATTCAGAGTTTCAAGATGAGTAAAGTTTAAAACTGGTTGAAATTTGTTTCCTTATTAGTTTGAATATGATGAATGTGTACTAAACTGATATATAAACACGGCTAAATACTCACGTATATTCGTCCGGTGGCGGCACCGACTAGTTTCGAGCCCATCGGGGGCCCGTCATCAGGATAAGTGGTACTGGTATGATTTCGCGGACGCGGTCCGTCGCTCACTCAGAGTGTTTAGCCGTGTTTATATATCAGTTTAGTATAATGTCTCACGAAAGTTTGAATAATTTAATGTGTACTAAACATAAATATGATTATTGAATTTAATCCACGGAACATGTGGAAGGGGTGTGTCTAAAATGGCGGCAAAAATTTATTAAACCGGAACAAATTCAACTGTACGAACTGAAATCAAACAGAGCACAATAGTTTAACGAACGGTTGCCACCACCTTTTTTAGGTAACGAAATAAAAAATAGAGTCGTGTCGCACAACGAGCGTATGTAAACAGTATGTCAGTACACAGCGGGCCATACACTCACTTCCCTGTATCCTTTACAGCTTCAAAGCTCAGGAATAAAAAATCCCCCACACTGTTTTCCATGTGCAAACAAATACAAATGCTCTCTATATTTTTCAATACGAAATGCCACGATATTAAGTGAATGTATACAAAGTGCAATCCATGATTATTTCTTAAATAGACTCACAGTGCATTAATAAAGAGTTTAGAACTGCGAACACTTTAATATATGTTTAGTAAGTAGTATTTGTTTGGCAAACGAGAATTGAAATTTTAAAAAAAGGTCAGCGATGCCCATGATGATAAAAATGTATAATATTATTCTGGTATTTTGTTAGTGTCGAAAACCTTAATTGATCAATATCAGAACGAATGTGCTCAAATCGAATCGGGAACGCTTAATGTTTGCCGAAACAGCAATCTCAAATTTATCATAATCATTACGGCCATTGGGCTCACCAGAATTGGCTTTTAAATTCCGCAAAATGTTGCACGGAAGCAATTTATACGGAAAGGTCAAAATAAAAGTGCATGTGTTTTAAATTACATACTAACGTGGTATTTCGTATTATTTTTAAACAGATAAATTATTAATTTTTAAATCAAATATATTTTCATAACATTTAGTTTAATATTAATAAGTTTCTTATTTTCCTTATAAAATATTTCTTTTAACGAATATCTACGTAATTTTACCTTATAATTAATTTTTGGATCTCGAAGACACAAAGGTAAAAATAGCTAAGCTAATAATTTGCCAGTATTTATTATTTCTCTATCATTGATTTATATGTAGAGCGGGACTGTGCAATATTTCTTGGCCAACATTATTTACTAAAAACCTCATGGGTCCACAAAAGGGAAACGGATGGAAAAGGGACATAAGTTTTACTTACAGGTACAAAGGAAATCGATTTAGCATAGCTACAGACAATTTATTACTATGGAGGTACTAGGCCAGATAAATTATTTATTTTATTTATGACTCTTACAAGCACATATTTAATGGTCGTTCTTCAAATTCGAATGAAATGTAACAGGCGTTTAACAAATTATTAACACTAATTATAAAAAAAAAACTAACTCAAGTTAAAGTTCTCTTTTATCGTTTGTTATTTTTTGACATTGGAATAAATACATATTATTATTTATTTTACTATAATTTTACGTAAAACTAGTTAATAGAATTTAATGAAGTCTTATGACCGTATTTCTCCTTGTTTTGTTATAAACTTCGTAACTATTTAATGAATATTGATGGCGGTTTCGTCGTCATTTGAACGCTTCTTAAGAAACCCTTAAAGCTGTAGATGATATACGTACATATAATAATATAAGTTGAAATAAATATCAGCAAGTTAATAAGTATGAAATCATTTCGATTTAATTTTCAATGAAATCTTCAGCGATGCTTTATGCGATAAAACTCAGGTGACTAACGTATTGACCTTGGGATAAATAAAGAAGTAGTAGGATACCACATAGAATCAATTAAAGCTCATCAAGTGGACGTAATTCGGGGACATGGGTAATATATGATTTTCCTGTGTTCACGTTGAAACCTAATAACTGCGCGGCTGCTTTACTATGTTGGTAGGTATCAGGCATGTCGTGGAGCCGCGCCAAAGCGAACGCGGAGCCATCGTCGCAATTCATGATGCCCATGTAGCGCCCGACTGTTTTCATACGGACATCTGTCGTGTGCACATTTGGAACGTCACCCCCTGTAACAAAATTGTATTATAACATACTATATAATAATAATGCCTAATCCAGGGTTGTGTTTTAGGAGAGACTGGATTTAGAATTCGTTTTACTGTTTCAAGAAGTTTTTTCGTTAAGTTTGCTTTAATTCTAAGTCATTAGAATTTTTTCTTGATTCCTGACAATTAAAATATATCAAAGACATAGTCATGGCCGAATTCAACGTTGAAATCAATAGCTTTATATAACAAACTTCGCAGTGTATATGCAGTTGTATAAAATTAAAGGAAACAGATGCCTTTCGAACAAATATGGCGTTATAAAGATGTCACATCCATAAAACTTCCCTCAGGCCACTTACCTCCGTCCCATTTCCGCCCTAACTTCCAAAACTTGACTCATAATGATAATAAACCGAGAGAATTTTATATTTTTCTCCTTTTCCTTGATGCTTTGCTAACGAACGTAACCGTTTTACTCATTAGCAACGCGCCTGACGCCGCCATAACGCTTCTGTTGGAAATTTAACAATAGCTACGAAACATATTTTCTGCAAGATTTCAAAGTCAAAGTAAAATGACACATTACGGTCGTGTCAAAGATACACACTCATTTTGTACTATTTTTGTTAAAAAAAATCTTATCAGTGACCCGGTGATGAAGCGAGAACAACTATAGAAAACGCGGAACAAAAATTAATAATTTAACCTAAAACATATAGTCAACCCTTTTATTCTCTGAAAAAAGTTATAACAATATTTTGTAGAGATGTTTCGGAAATTGAAATACACATTGGTATTAAAAAAATATCTATGTTGGTAAAGCTTATTAAATTGTTCTGTTATTCACCTTTATCGTATTTGTCACCCTTAACCACCGCGAGATATTTGCCTGGACGGTTTCTGCTCACGAGCAACACTTTCACATCAGGCCGGGGCTCCATAAACAGCGCAGCTTTGTCCCACTCAATACTCAGACCTGGATTGTAAGTCTCCACAAGCGTCCTAAAATTGCTTATCTTCTGCAAATAATAAAAATGTCTTTTAAATAAAATTGTAAAAACTCAGACCAAAAACCTCAAACTCAGCCTGACCGAATGCCGCTCTTTTCTAAACTGCTTAGAAAAAAGTCTATCGTGATTTTTCTAAACTGTCGAAATATCACGGATTACTTTGTGAATGAATTCGATATAAAATTTGTCAAGATAAATTACAAGCGTACGTTATGACGAATTATTTTAGAATCCGAATAAAAATATGACATCTTTTGCAATTTTAGTTAAGTCCATGGCATTTTTATCTTTAATGGACAAGACATCATTTCGTGCTTTAGTTGCGAGTTGCCTCGTCACTTTTGATTAGGTTGCCAATGTACCAAGGGAAAATAAAAAACTTTACGACAAATTACTACCTCGGTATACGTCACGATTCATTTTGCAAATGTTCCTTCATAATTTCAAGTTAATGTCCATTTAAATTTTGTTGAATATTTTGTGAGTGAAGTCGAACTAAATGAACCGAATATTTTTACAACGCAAGTGCTAGATGTTTTCACAAGATATAATATAGTTGTATAAGATTTCGAAATCCCGTGTTTCTTAGTTCTATTCTTTAAAAAGCCATTATATAAAAAAGAGGCAAATTAATTTTGTACACATAACGTAGTTTACCTTGTCAGATGGCAAAGAAAACAAAATCGTTGATATCTCCACCCCATTTGCCCAGTAATAGAATATCTTCCAGAGTGAGTCGACGACCTCTTTAGGATCAAAGTAAGCGTTTTGTTCGAATTTCTCACAAGTGGTGGCGTCAAAATTATTCGGCTTGTTCAGGTCTATTTCCGGGAGATCTCTCACCGGGAGGTCCATGTACCCCGCCGCAGCGCTCAACAGAACAATCTCAATTATACCGCGACTCAACATTGTCTGTCTGTCTGCCTGTTGACGTAATACACGTACTGTTACGCGCATCCACTTAAATTGAATCACGGGAAACAAAGATTTTAATCTCAGATCAGACTGCGGAGTTTAATACTTACAACCATATAAGTTTATAATAATTTTCATGACATTTTATGACAAACCACTTCATATCGTAAACATCGAAAAATAAATCTAAAACTTTCACGCAGGTTTTTTCAATGTGAGGAAAAAATGTTTCGCGTTCATTTACATTTCTACATAGATTCTTAAAAGGAAACATAACAACTCACCCCAGGCCCGGAAGCGTTTCTATTATAAAGGGCCTTTATAAATGATGTAAACGATGACAGTTTGTTTGCGGCTGGCGACGTGTCAGTTGGATAAATTGCACATGACACGCTCTCTTATAATTTTACTGCAAACTTTAAAACAACAGTGTTGGAATTTAAATAGTCATTTGTTTTAGCTAAGACAACAATCCATATAATATACCAGCCCTTCGTAGGGGATAGAGCAGAGGATACATCACGTGTAGGATTTTTGTGACACGAAAATTTTTAAAGGTTTAATTTAAAATTTTCATTTCATAATTAATTTATTTAGTTTAATATTTTAATGCAGTAGCTGCACTGTATCATTATCGATTCTTTGCGTTTTGTTTAAAAAAAAAACTCTTCGTATTGTCAACAATCTCGCTGAACTACAAATAATATTTTGTCTTGGAAACAAAGAGATTCGTTTGAAATTGTCTTATAAATGCCTTCTCATATTGCATACAATTTAGAGTTGTTAACTTACAACCTTAATAAAGTTGAGTTACTATAATTATATTAACAAAAAGTTTTGCCTTCTTAGATCTAGATTGCTCTAAATTACTTTATGTAAAAACCTAATATTGGCTTCCTTTTTCTACAACTTTTTCCGAAACTGATATATCAAGGCAGTAATCTTAACAGTTTCTTACTTTGTACTTTTAATTTAATTTTAATATTACGTATGCGATGTTGTTTGTAAAAAATAAAATTTTCCAAATATTGTGTCAACGATATGCCGACATACGGCTTATCTGGCGCACGAAAACAAGAATATTTCCATTTCAATAAATGCTGGCTTTGATTTCGCTTAATCAACGTGCAATGATATGTTACGGGTTCGTTTACACTACTCTGAACTTTATCATATCGAATGATGTGCGCGTTGCTATGAACCAAATGATAAATTACTATCAAACATCGGGGCGGAGGAAGTATTGAAGAGGGGAGGATAGGTATACTCACAGAACAATAGATCTACACATTATACAGAGCTCATTACGTCCCGAGCGTGACAGGACAGTTGAGCTCATGTTGATCGAATAGCAACCCATTAGACCTCAAACTTTTTTATATTGCTAAAGATGAGAGTCGAATATATGAGAACACGGATGAATACTTCATATTACCAAAACTTTGTGTTACTTACAGATTTTTTTTCATAAATTTGCGATGAGAAATTATTCACGATTTTACAATGCGATTTGATTTTATGATGCGCGGAACATTTGGGTACTAATAGTATTTTCTTGTGAATTATTATGTTCCGCCATTTTTATTTCACTAATTGTCGAACTGCAGTTTATTTAAAAAAAAAACTGAAAATAACATATAGCAATCAATACGTATATCTAATTTGAAGAGGTGTTGTAAAAAGGTTAATGGATGGATTTTTATTATAAAAAATTAATGGATGAGAAAAGCTTTATTTAATATCGTAATACTGGTAGGCGAGTGAATCCGGCACGTAAATAGATTATGTAGCTTTACAGTACGGTGGATAGTACGTCGGAGTGGCATGTGTAACGAAATACGCCATCTGCAGCATGCGCAGCGCACTGGGATTACATAACCTCCAATCATCATCGTAAATTGTATATATTATTCAATATCCACTACAGAAACTCTGTGGATTTCCCTTTTTCCGAATGGATTCTGCAGCGCTTTCTCAATATTCAATTTCTTTGTTTAAACAACGTAATTGAATTGGAGGAATAGTAATGCGCTGTAGCGATACCTTTTTTTTATTAAAAAACTTTTAATTTAATTTTTAAATTGATTTTTGAATTTTATGGGATTTATACTTAGGTTTTTCAGCATATATGTTACTAGCTGTCGCCCGCGATTCCGTCCGCGCGGGATTAAAAATAGATGTTGGCCGATTCTCAGACCTACTCAATATGCTCACAAAATTTCATGCGAATCGGTCAAGCTGTTTCGGAGGAGTATGGGAACGAGAATTGTGACACAAGAATTTTACGAGTATGTATAAGATATGTCTCTCACTTACAAAGACGTCCTATTAATTGTTTTAAAGACATTCGCCTTATTATGGAAACTAACAAATTAAATTAAGAAAAACTTTTAGCCGTATCAAAATAAAGTTTGTAACAATGCCAGGTCTTTATTTCTATTTCCAATTTCAAGCGATAGACTTTTCATTCGTTAATTTAAAGGTTTAAATAAATAAAATCATCATTGTTAAAATAAAGCTGACACGAATCTGGTGCGGTAACTTTTCAACGATCAGTTATTATAAGTAGAAACAAAATTTATTCATCATCATCAGCTCATACGTTCCGACCAAGGGACTCAGAGCCTAGTTTTAGGGGTGACTAGGCTATTATCAAACAAGCTAGCCAAGACTGGTTGACTGGATTCGAACTCAGGACCTGCAGATTACAAGTGAAGTGCTTGACCCCTGAGCCACCGAGGTTTTAAAATTAAAAATTATCGTAACAAAATTTTTCAAAGTAATTTGATTAATTAACATTATCTAACTCAATTTATCTTAGGTCACTTTTACTAGACATTACGAATGTTGCTACACAGTATATCGATTTTTTTGTTATGTTTTGTTATAAAATCGAACGACTGTTATATGTGCCTATGTAATCGCATAAATTTTAATATAGATGCGTATAAGTTATGTTTATCTTCGAGTTCACAGAGTATCGGTATAAGTTGTTATCTTCATGACATTTAATGCAATAGAAAGATAAAGCGGACGAGATAATAAATGTCTGGCGAATTCGAAGCATATCTTGTAGGTCGCTTGTTTCGTCTGACTTAAATAGATTCAAATATAATACCAGTTGTAGAGCGGACATTACGAAGACTTTCCTTAAAATATTTTACACATAATCGCACATAATAGTCAGTACCGCTATGTTACAAGTGTGAAACTAGATAACTATTATTTTTTTGAGGATACCGGTTCGTAATGTCCTGCCTATTGGTGTACATGTTGAATGTCTTTGGTCTGACTATAAATTGTATTCGAAACAAGACAATTGAATTTTAGCTTAATCTTGGCTCTGAATACGTGTAATCAAGTTTAACAGTTTCAGTTTAACTACATATGTTGCTTGTTCGCTCAATTCATATTGTATTGCTCAGATAACTAACCCGACGGTGGATATATTTAATTGACTGACGTGAACTAGATATTATGATTTCGCTTGAGGAATAAATAAGTTACCATGAATGTTTCTAATATATTCCAAAGTTGTTTTCAAAATATATTACACGTTTCTCTTCAACCTTGAATTTATATCATAAACATTAAATTATCTAATGTATTTTAACTAACAATACCTGGCCTGGTGATCCATCACACAGGCTATCACTCTAGTTTGGACACCAGTCCCCTGCCCATAGGGGAAAAACAATAAAGTTTTAGACATTATTAGTTAGAAGTTCAGTGTCAGAATGAATAGTGAGGGGATAAAAACGTCGACATTTTAGTAAGGCTAGTAGTGTTGCGTCAATACACTAGCTCATTTTCGGATTTTCTTCCTAACAAAAGTTATTTTAATTTTTTTTTTATAAAAATTATAAATTTCTGTAGTGCTTTTAATAAGACGTAAATAGCATTTGATTGTTTCTGCTCTTGTCACTTTTAATATTACTTGTACTACACACTTAAAAAATGGTGTTTACACTTTTAATATAATCCGAATCACTAGAGAATTTGCAAATTACCTACTACGCGATACTTGCATAGAAGGAGGTATGAGAGGCGTACTATCTTCTACCCTCTGAGGAGTTCTCGTTGCATAAAAAGCTGCACTTTATGTGTGTCGCAGTCTTGTTATATTTTATGGGATATAAACGACTAACTGCTGAATGTGAAAGTATCTTAGGCGAGTTCCCTGGTCTTTAGTGGTGCATTTAGAAGAATATGGAATAGTTCTTATACACCTTAACGTACAAAGGTACATTTTGATCAGTGTTTTGCATGGGCAGATCTTTCCTTAATTTTTTCCGCATTTTAAATGTTTGTCGATCACGGGTAACAATAATTTGTTATTTCAATAGGCAAAATTGAAATGACCACATTTTAAGGAAGAACACAATTTAAAAAAGGTCATCAATATTCATTTTTTTATCTGTAAATGTATGTTGAATGGAACTTTTAAGCAAATGCTACAATTTTAGCAAAGAGCTTTTGTGTAAAGGTTATGCATAAAGGAAAATGTAGCGCCGCACATAGATAAGCCCGCATAACCATTGTACTGGACTACGACTGTCTAAAAAACATTAAACGCCGTTTCTCTTCCTTCACTGGTTTTTGAAATGTGGAAAGAAAATGCAAAAGAATTATAAAGAATACAATTGTTCGTGACTAAATAAAGACAAGTAAAAACTTGTTCATATGCAGATGTAATGTTGGTTTATCCAAATCAAAGTTTTCACTAAAGTTTTTTCTGTGATATTCCACAAAGTCTATTTGCATTGTAAAATATTTCTTTGATATTGTGGAATAAAAATAGAATAGAATAGAATATAGAATAGAATATTTATTTATTGCCACAAACCACCAAAAAATCTAAAAAAAAAAATTGATTAATTAAATTAAGGATGTGGCAAAAAAGGTGGCTAGCTCAGCTGGTGGGAGGGCCTTGATCACTCCCGCGCTGGTTTTCAGCTGGCCTCTTCACACATATTTTCTTTAAAGATAAGTATCCAATGGT